TTTTGTTACCGATCCTTGGGAAATTGTAGCAGCTATTGCAGAGTGTTATTAACTTGGACACTGCTGGAAGCCTGGACATTCACAATACTGTTACATCTCCACGATCGCACGGGAGTGCTGTGCTCTGAATAAAGGGCACTTGCAAGAGTATTACTTTCTACAATTGAATAAACTATAATAAAACTACAACAGCAAGTGTTTCATAAATGAACGTCTGTAAGCCCCAAGCTTACACAACATTAGAAGTGTGCTACACAATGTGCCTTGTTTAGCGATAACAAGTATGACTCTATATCAGTTTTTCTGCTTTATTGGGAGTCTCGTAGTTCTTGTGTCCTTCCTTTGAAAGTCAAACATTTGAAAGGAACACATCATAATCCAAGCTTTGATTTTTAGAGGATGAAGTCTGTAAGGCTGCAATCCGAAGACTGCACCCTGAAGAACTGCAGGAAAAAAATATCTAATCCCTCCCTTTGGTTTTCAAAGCCCCATTGTTCAAACCTGGCCCTATTTAAACTTAAAAGTATACTCTATGTGCAGGAGGATGTAACCTGAAGCCACAGGAGTTCTGATTCGAGTGCTTTCAGGTACACTTCTCTGTATCACCTTTGCAGGCCCAAGTCGGCACTTAGAGCGGTCTATTACATCTCCCTGCCAACAGAGATTTTGATTAACTCCCTGGAAGTCCACGCTGTCTCCATTAACAGTAAGGACTTGGCTTTCCAGTCTTGCCATTTAGGAGCAAGCACGGGTCTCTGTCAGCTATGCAACTATCCTCACCTTGTTCCCTGTTTTGCCCTAATGCTGCCACAGCACCATTTGCTGCTTCCAAGCTGCACAGATGTCTCATATCTTCAAACCGAAATGTTTTCGTCACAGTGGCTTTTGACCCAGGAGGACACAATTATCCACAGCAGCAGTTCCCAAACTGTGGTTTGTAAAGCCACAGTGATAGTTCCTTAACAGCAGACTGCTTTAAACCGCTAACTTGAGAGAAATTGAGGATTAAGGTAGTTGCCTGCAGTCCAAACCGTTCAGGAGTGAAAGAGCTTAAAAAATGAGCTCAAAAATTGAGCTCATCATTCTTTTACAGCAGTCTCTCCACTCCTCTGCTTGACCACCACAGCTGCAAAGTGAAGTTACAGTCCACTACAATCCCTTCATTTTCCCAAGTGATGGGATACCACTCACCCACAAAACACCATGAACAGAGCAATCAGACACGCAAAGTTGACAGTGGCAGCCATGGTACAAACAGCTACCAATTGGTCCTGTCCCCACTGCAGAGCTGTGCCAGACGCTCTCATTATCATGCTGGGAACATGTCCAGGGCAACCTGGGTAAACTCATGCAACACCCTCACCTCTTCATTTAGTTAGATGCCTTTGTTCAGGCTGTTGGAAACATTATGCCTCAGCTACACAGTTAAAAATAAACTTTTTTATCATCAACTCCTAGTTCACTGGAACCAGAAAAACCACTCCAGAAAAGCCAATACAGCCTCCGTGCTACCCTCCTGCCAGCCCTTTGCTGCTGTTACCACCAACTCTGTCAGCAACCAGGTGCAACTCCACCACCATCCTTCCTGCAGGCAGCCCACTGCCCATGCTTGCTTATAAATTTTGGAACTAAAGCTGGTTGACCAGTTTTTCCCAGTGTTTGCAGTTTTCATTTCCCTCCTGCTCTTTCTTGGCCTCAAAAAGTAATCTGCCTTTAGTGGACAGATGTTTAGTGAGAAGTTTAGGCTCTCAGTAGACAGCCAGCAGGATCATTGTATGGTCAGGGTTGTGTAGCAATTCATATTTTCACTCAACTTTCCGAAAGAAGTCTTTATTCTTTAAAAAGAGGAACAATTTTTCTGGCAAGCTTGAATGAAAAGCTCCTTCCAACAAGGCTAGGAGAACCACAAAGAAGTCAGCTTACTTTTCCCACATGTGTTATTAGCAACTCTCTCACTGAAATAGTTTGGTGAACTGAAGTAGGTCTTGGTTCAATGCTCTGATTTCGTGAGTATTGTAGCATTTCAGTGAACTCTGACTTTGGGTGAAAAATGCAGTCTTGCTTGAAATTGCACCCAGTGGACACAAGACCATCTTCTGCTAATCTTTTGTTGAGTTTGGTAAGGTTGCAGCAAGGCCAGGCCACTGGAAACACGGCCCAGCAAGTACATCCTCTTTAAAGCAGAAAGGGAAGGAAGGACAAATTTTCAGAATCACACTCTCATTTGTTACTTTGGAACAAGCAATACATAAGCCAAAAATTTCTTTTCATCTTTGCCTTGAAAGAACTTGCAGTTAAGAAAGCATTTCTCCCTGATGGATCTCAAAGCTTAGAAAGAAGATTTCAGTAGTATCTACCCTGGTTATATCTCAAATAGGAAAAGAGCTGCTTTGTTTCCTCTTTCAGGAATCGCAAGACTGACATTTAAAAGAAGCCACAGTGCACAGTTAGCCAAGCACTCAGCTATCAGGATATGCCAAAACTGAGGCTTTGCACTTGACCTCCACTCTACATTCCTCACCTCTGGGAACCAGCATTACAATGCTATTTACATAATCACAGAATTTCCCTAATACAACTGTATGCTTTTCCCCATGCACCATCAAGTTGTGTCTTTATCAGATAGGGAAGTAAAGGTCATGTCAAGGACTTCCCTAGATTCACCAATAATAGAGGGAAAGGGGAAAAAATAATCTGAATTTTGGAGGGTGGAGAGGATTAATTCTCACTATCTCATTTTTCTTTAAAAAAACCAGCAAACAACACAGTGAAAGTAAACAAAACAAGTGATAGGACAAGAGGAAATGGCCTCAAGTTGTGTCAGGAGACGTTTAAATTGGATATTAGGAAAAATTTCCTCACCAAAAGGGTTGTCAAGCACTGGAACAGGCTGACCATGGACATGGTTGAGTCACCATCCCTGGAGGTATTTAAGAGATGTGTAGATGTGGTGCTTAGGGACATGGTTTAGTGGTGGACTTGGCAGTGGTAGGTTAACAGTTGGGCTCAATGATCTTAAAGGTCTTTTACAACCAAAACGATTCTATGACTCTATGATTCTATGAAAACAAGTAAACCTCTAAATTATAGCCAGTAATGGGAAGAAAAATACTTATTTATCTAACTTCTGGTGGCACTGAAAATTGAGTCAAAATTATTTAGTGCATATTTCGTATCTGTCTCAAGGACTATTCAAAAGTAATGCATATGCAGGTTGCTCTCCATCTGCACAAAACAAGCAGATTTTTCCTAATGTTATTAGCTTACAGTAAAAATATCTCAGTTTTCAGTGAATCCATAAGCAGGGACCAGGGTGGGAATGCTGAGCAGGGATGTGGAGGCATTTCAGTGGTGTTGCTGCTTAATGTCGAACCCTGGTGTCAAGTGGCAAAGGCAGCACGATTCAAACTGAGGAAGAAAGGGGTAAGCACCTACACACAGAAGCAGAAGGGAGGGGGAAAGCAGCCTAATCAAAACTAACAGCAAGATTTCTGCTCACACTTCAAACTGAGAGCAGATAAAGCCCTTCATTTTCTGTTCTTGAAAGCAAACCCCTGGAGTCCACGTGGAGAAGTGCTCCGCAAAGAACTAGCAATCCTTTGAATTCAGTTATTTGCAGAAGAACGACCCTCCTTCCACCTCCCTGAATGTTTTTTCCCCATTCTCAGTCATTTATTCATTAGTATTATTATTACACACTTACTGACCTTTTCTTTTATAGGACAAACCCAAACGTTCACTTTTTGAGCCTGAAGGTTCATTACCCGTACTCATTTTAGACAACTTCCCCATCCTCTCTCTCTCGTCTCCATTTCAAGCTGTCTGTTGCTTGAACAGACAGCTCTTGAACATCTCTTGAGAAGTCTAATCTTTTCCTCTTTTTGTTAAAAGGTCCGTGTACCCCCTGGCTTCATGTTCATTCTAGTCTGATGAAACCACTCCCCCACCCCCCAAATTTTTCACCTGAGGCACATTTTACTAATTTAGGGTCAGCATCACAGAAGACATTTGGGAACCCAGATAATATGGACAGGCATCCAGTGAGACTTAGAGGAACCTCCAAAAAAGTCTGGACAACGCCTTGGAGGTCAGCGGCAAACTTGAACTTGACTTGTTCAGGCACTCTGGTGCATTGCAACAGTTGCAGCACACACCTTTTGGTACCCAAATATCACCAGGGCCAGGCTCACAGCAACCAACATCATACAAGAAAGAGTACTAGGGGTGTAAAACCTCAGAGCACGCCCAGCACTAAGTCAAGGTTCCCAAAACTTGTAGCAGAGTATTGCACTATTGCAGAATGACACCACCAAAAGAGAAAAGGTACAGGCCAGATTTTCAAAAGCTTGCTGGCATATTTCGACACAGACAGGCCTCTGGCCTGGCAAGCAACTGCTGCCAATGCAGCTAGCCTTTGCCAATTGCAATCTTAAGTGGCTCAAAAAGAAGTACCAGCATCCTTGTCAGAAAAGTTCCCAAATATCTCAAGTAGGACTACGAAGGGATGCCCTGTAACTCCACTCAGTTCCAACCCAGCATTAAAACGTCAGCCTCTAAGTGATAAAAAATTCTCAGTGCTTTAACCAGAATACATCCATTATACAGGAGGGAAGAAATCTCACCAAACTTCAACATGCTGCTACGATTTGAAACAGCAAGATGTATTACTTTCTGCTGCTATTTTTGCAGAAGATAGGATTAGTTTCATGCTGTCTTGCAGCATGATGAAGGGCAATGTAAGGATAATAATTAAGTGAATTCTATTGCTGGCTGTCACAAGTAATAAATACAATGCATAATTAAACAAGCAGCATCTAGAATGCCTGGAGGAAACAATTATTTAGTGATTTCATTAGGACAGACTAATTTCTTTCACTTTTTTTTCATTACATTCTCATGTTTCACAAATCTGCTGAAAACCAACAGGTTTACATTAGCTTCCGTGGCTGCAGCTGCCCAGGAACTGCCCACTGGGAACAGACCCAACGTGCATCGCCCACCTTGTGAGTACAGAAGGATCTGCATCTCCAGAAGAACGCAGGTGAAAACCTGGACCAGGTTCTCCAGGCCCAGCAGCTCAAAGACCTCCCGCAGCGGGTAGTCAGAGAGTGGCAGCTCGTTGGGCCCAGGTCTCTGGCAAATGATGGGCTCATAAACCCCATAAAACTTCAACGACCTCCCCGGGGGTGGCAGGGGCACCTCGTAGAGGATGTTGTGGATGTAGCTCTCCAGGGGCAGAGGTGGTGGCTGCTGGGAGGTGACTGCCTTATAGAGCTGGACGAGGAACTTCTTGCAGGCTTGCATGAAGGGCAGAGGGGTGATGAGGCATATACATTTGGAGACATACAGTGTGTCTCTGCTGATGTCATAGGAGTTGTACCGCTGGAGCTTGGCGAGGGAAGTGGCGTCACCCTCGTCGATGCTGCTGGCCAGGGAGTCCATGCTGCACGAGGAGGAGGCGCAGACGCTGCTGTATTGCTCTGCATTGTGCATCTGGTAGAGCGTTTGCATGGCTGTGCAGATCTGCTTGCTCGTGACCTCTTCGTAGAACGTGAGCACAAACCCATACGTACGAGAGCCATCTTCTCTGGTGATGATGAACGAATGGAGCTGAGGATCTCTGTTATCTGCCTGCGTCCTGAAAGACAGCCCTTTGGGCATACACAGCTAAGAAAGGAGAAAAGAAATAGATATAGTTATCTAAGCTACAATTTTATTTTGTTACTTTTGCTTTACAGGCACATTCTTTTTTTTCCACCACATCATAACTATCCAGTTATCATTAAACATAATCCCTCTGAAAAGCAGCCCAAGAACAAACAGCCTAAAACTGATGCTACTTAAAAGAAGAGATAGGGATGACTGAATCACCCATCTATTAAGTCATTATGACTTATTTTCATTACTTTGTAAAATTATTTTCACTACTGAATAGCCTTCGTCTCATTTACTTAAGCATCATATAAAGACATCCAGTTTTGTCCTCATTCACATATATTATTCCCACAGTACTCTAAAATCAGAGAGACAAGGGAACATCTTATAACACTGAATTAAAATTACAGACTTCTTGAAATTCACTGATCTTCCCTAATTTTCTTAAAAGAAAGCAAGAGTTGACTGACAGCTATTACGTTAAGTTTCTTCCTTAAGTGCTACAAAATAGCTTACGTTGGAAGAAGGAAGGGGGGGGAAACACCCAAAATCTGTGAAAGCCTCATTTTAGATTTACCACTTAGCAAAATCTTTTGCAGTGATTCTACTACACTGGGTGTTTCTCTGAAACAGCCCTAGTGATAACTCGAGGCATTTTTCCAGGCATTCCTCAGGAATTCTATCAGATATCTAATACAAAATAACAAACATCCAGCAAAACTTGTTTGAATGTGCATCAGCATGAAACTCCTTATGTTCTAGCTAAATCAGTATGTTTATAAATGAGGAACTAAAGCTTCCTTTGTACCTTCCATCTGAAGAAATAAAAGGAAAGAAGAGAGGGAGACCCTTCAAAGTGCTTCTCCTGTTCCAAAAGGCAACACTAAAAGCTAACTTTCCCAAGGGATGAGAACCTACATATGACTGAGTGCATCCCCTAATGTCTCATCTTGACCAGGAGTAAATTCTTCTGATGGTGGAAGAGGTCAAGAGAAATAATTATATATTTTCAAGCACTGAACTTCACCAGTGCACCTTGCAGAAACCATTCGACAACCTGATAAAGCTGGTACCAGCCCAGCTGGGATTTAGGCAAGTGGTCCAGACTCAATTCACAACATGCCAGCAAGCCCCTAAGTTATCTAGGACAGCTTTTACGTATTCCTCTAAGAGGTAACGTATAGGGAAATAAGTAGTCTGCAGTTGGTAGAAGAATCTAATTCAATTGACAGGCTTTGCTGACATAAACCATGAAATTGCAGCTTGAACCATTTTTGAACAGCAGCCTCATTTTCATTCAAGAGGTTTATAGTTTTTACTGTGGCATTAACAGCAGTGCCATGGTTAAGGCTTCTCCAACAAATAAGTAGTAAAAAATCCTTGTTTCACACTTTATTTAAATTTACCCTGCACAATAAATATCTCTTAACCTCATTTTTTGGCAGGCTTGCTTAATAAAAATTTCTATCTAGAATGTGGGCGTTCAATGGCGGCTATAGGCTTATCAAATCCGATCCAGCTGAAAGCATAGGTTTTAATCTCAGTGCTATCAAAGAATGTGTTTTCTTCACTTTACAGGAAAATACTTGGAGAAGCAAATTGTATGTACTGCTACAATCAAGAACAGATAAGCATCAAGGAAATTCAGACCAGCTGAGACAGTTTCAGAAGGCTAAATAAATTTTCTCCAAGTTTTAATTATTATTCCCTCATGCTTTATATACTGAGTATACACAAAGGGACACCCATCTATTAAGTTTCAGCCACAGCCCGGCATATGCAGAATACCGACATTTTAAGACACTGGTTGCAAACCCTGGCACAGACACTTGCTGCTGTCATTAGACCTATAAGAAGACACAGGAAAAGGCAAAGAAAGAAGGAGATGGGAAAGCACCGAGGCAGGGAAGAACGACCAAGAGTCACTTAAGAAGCTAAGATCAAAAGGAAGGGCCTGTGCTCATTTTACAGCAATATAGAAAGCTTCAAATTTGCAGTTAATGCACAAAAACTTTCATCTTAGTGCCTTGGACATCAATCACTTCCCATCTTGTCTGTGTTTGTCACATGCGCCACAGGAGAGCGTTGGGGAAGAGCAGCTTGGGACGTGCTGGGGGGGTGAAAGCTTCGCCTGCTGGTGAAGCTGGCTGACTAATGGTGAGGAGGCAGTCAGTCACCTCCATTGCATCTGTGTATAAACACAGAAAACTCTCCAAGATCACTGATCAAAGAACAGGATTTTGGTTTTCAAAGCACTTTGCTATTTATATTTAAACATATCTATCAGCAGAAAAATGTGGAATGAAATCATACTTGCAATAAGGCTTATAATCAACACGGTTTTTAAAAACCAAAGCTGCAAAAGACGGTCAAGAAGACATCAGCTAATCCATGCTGCACCTCTAGAAGTGATGAGTAGGAGATAGCCTTTTCCTAAATGCAGAGGCAGGTCACACACACACTGTAATCCCTCCCTCCTTCCAGCCATCATCAGTCGCAGATATTTCTAAACCAAAGGTCCCCTCTGGACCACTGGCCATCAGTACTGGTTCCCCTCTTCTCCGTTAGATTCTCTATTTCGCTTTTTAAGCCCCCATATATTTTTCATGTTCACAACATGCTGCAGCAGCAAGCTCCATACTCAAATTGTGCTGTGAGTGAGGGGGTAGAAAGAGGTATACTTTTCTTTGTATTAAAGCCTGCTCCTTCAAATTACACTGGATAATCTTAAATTCTTTTATTTCAGTACATGACATGTTAAATGGACAATGTTTCATTGACTCCAGAAATACAAGCAAAGATTTATATACCTTGATGAATCAGAGGGCTAAAATAGGAGTTTTATTTCCTAAAAATTTCACTTTCCTCCCTACTGAGAACTTCAGTTCAGTACAACACATTACTTGCAGAATGGCCGCAGAAGATAGTATGTGATGTTAGGTGGGGATAATCACAAAAAGCAGTGGGAGGAAAGAAATACTTCCCTATTAAAAAGAACTCTGTACTTTGATATATACTTTGAAAGGGAGAAAAAACATGAACTCGTAGGCAGAGTGATTGCTTGGGACTTCAGGGGGTTATTTTTAAAGCGACAGGATGGTTTCGGAAGGGAATTTAAATTCCTTAGGCACCCAGCAAAGCCAGAGTTCTCACAAGTTAACCTTCAAGGATTTATGCATTTTCTTCTCTGACGAAAATTGCTTCTGGAAGCTCACATAAAGCAAACACATAGGCAGAATTAATACAGCAAGGCAAGATCAGAAAGGCCAATAATTGCCTCAAGGGATTCTGTGGAGGTGGATATTACTTTAAATGATGTTTCAGATCAAAACAATAAAGAAGTTTTCCAAAAGATGATTTAAAAGACCATTAAATACTGCTGCTGTTAGTAAATGTGGTTTTTTTTCTCCAAGACACATTGTAAATGAAAGATGCGTTCTTCAGCTATTTGATTTCAGCTGAATGCAGCTCAGTTCAATTATTTTATTTTAATAGGTCTCTTGCTGGTTATAGTATTCCATTTTTATCTGATAATATGATTGCACCTCATGAATACTAGACATTTTCAACTGTAATGTGAGAGACAAATAATGCAGCAATTCCAGCTATTACTTCTTGCTGCCACATCACCCCCAATTCAAAGGCAGAACTAAAAGACATAAGTAGCCTTGGTAGTTGAGTTATTACCATTTTAACTGTGCTGATGAAGCAGTGTTCTGAGTCCTTCATGCCTTCTGTATAAGCAAAGTGATGTGGAGACCTGCCCAAATACCTCACCATCTCCAACAGTGCACACTTGGAAGCAAAGGACAGAAATCCCCAGCTGTCAGTGGGCAGAGGGGGTGATCAGGCTCATCTCTGCCTTTCTATGCATGTGCAGTGCCCCATTATCAGCTCTCTGTGTCACTGCTATTTCCACCTCCTGTCTTTTCATGTTAAAAATTTGGCATGTATTCTCTTCATGATTGCAGTGAAGTTGCAAATGCATTTTTGCATTTGCAAAAGCCATTTTACTGTGGCTTTTAAGCATTTCCTGTCTCTCCATCTCCTTCATGAGGGCCAGGAGATTCTCTTGACTTCATACCTGCACCATACAATGAGGTTGGTTCTGTTTTGAAGTAGCTAGTATGTAGTCCTACCCTCCTCAAATGTGAATCATGTCTAAACTAGATCGGAGGGGGAAGGGGTTCACTAATTTTCCAATTTGAGTTAGACCCAATACACATTTTTGAAAACAGCTGGAATCAGTAATATTGTTTAATGTTATTATTACAACTGTTTACTTTTAAGAAATGTGAAGCATGTCTAAACTAGATGATTGGAGGGGGAAGGGGTTCACTAATTTTCCAATTTTGAGTTAGACCCAATACACATTTTTGAAAACAGCTGGAATCAGTAATATTGTTTAATGTTATTATTACAACTGTTTACTTTTAAGTTATAAAACAAATAGCATTTTCTGTACTGGGAAGCTTACCTCAAATACCTGTCATCTGTTGTCTTTGTCAGGACTTGTTCTTAACGAGTGCTTTGGTGATTTTGGAAACATTCTTTGAATGTTAACTCTTTAGGAAAATTTTCACTGGATCATTGGGTCTTTTAGTTGTCACTGCCCCCATACAAAACTCCAGAAACTGTTTTCTCCTCCCTCCCCTATTCATAGGATTTAGCCGCACAGACAAACTCACATCAAATTTAGCTGAGAGGAAAGAGATGTACAGAAGATGCATTAGTGCGGAGGTGCCATTAAAAAGTGACCACCCAACAAAAGTCGTGGTTTAGGTAAGTTCCAGCTTCTGTGTAAAGATTGCTCTCCCTTGCTATATGCAGCATCAAGGACTTTTGTACTCAGAAATTTCACACTGGTATGACTATCTTAAAAATTCCTTGGTTCGCCTCCTTCCCGCCTGCAGATGTGCATGCTGGGTGACTACAGCCCTTCTCACCCAGTCACTGAGCTGGTGGTTAGACTTGTTCCATCATGCAGTAGATTTAACTAGAACTAATAATGGAAACACAGCATTTTACTTTCATTGTGCCTGAAAGTATTCTGCATTTTCAGGTTACCTCCTCCTCTACAGCTTTTCAACCAGCATGTCCAGTGGGTGCTCTTAGTCCCAGCAGAAGTGGCTGTTTATCACATCACAAGGGTGGTTGTGAACAACCCAAGAACCACATGAGAGTTGAAGTTGTCAGGCAACAGCTTACGAAGAGAGTTTCTACCTACCATGTTGACGGCATCCTGGTCGAAGGGGTTCCACTCAATGTTCTGAGGATAATGAGCCAAAACTTTGGACTTGAAGGTTCTTCTTAAGGGACTCTGGTCGAAATTCTCTCCTGCAACAAATGAAGAAATAATGACTTGTCACAGCAGTGAGGCTTCAGAGAGCTGGCCTGGGCAGCTTTCTTCCCCCCCCCCCCCCTTTGTGAAATCTGAAGGGCATTTTCACTCCCAACAGATGTACTACTTTTAAAAGAGAAACATAAAAGATGCACATTCAGTCTGATCTTACCCTCCTTCCTATAAAATCTTACTACAGTTGCAACACAGCTTCCAGCTTAGTATTTACTGCATGGAAATTTATTGTTAAGAGAAAAACTACTGCTGGAGTTTTAGAGAAAAAGACTCTGCAATCAACTGAATTCTCCACCTTCCCCTATAGCTTGAATATCTAGAGATGACTTCACTTAGACACTGAAAGAGCACTTTCTCTCAAGTTTGTTAGAAACTGTCTTATGGTCAATAAAAGGTATGAGCACCTCTCAGCTATTATAAATTATTCAAGGATTCATTATAGATCTTTTTTATATCACAAGTCCTGTGTGAAGATTAAACTTCTTTTTTTTTTTCTATGTCAAATATCAAGGACAGACTTCTTCCATGCAAAGAATCCAGCAAGTGCAAAGAGGAAAATTGAAAGACTTCAAGCAGAAATGCATCCAGTTATCAGCATACAAATAGTGTATTTCACAGTGATATTGTTAATGGAGTTTCCACCATTGGATAGTCTACACTATGCAACACAGTAATCAAAATAAGAAGTTCTTAAAATCAATTAATTATATTACCATCTACTACACATTTTTCAGATACCAGGTTACTAATGTCAGGTTTCTTGCTTTAAAGACCACAGGTGGGTCTTTCCTGTTCAGTTCCTTTCTCACCTGAGAGAGATGAATGGGATGAAAGCCTTAAGTTTGCAATATTAAATGCTTTTCACCAAACCTTACTTTGCACTCAAAGGCTCCCTTTTGGACTTAGTGTTACCTAGATACTTCTAAAAATATGGTACTGAAATAGAATTTGATTTCTTTTCTTTAAAAAAAAATATTATTTCTCTTTCTACTTAAAGTCAGAGCCAGTATTTCATTAATGCTTTTAATGAAAGGTTATTTTGGATGAAAAAAATATTCCATCACCTGGCAAGCTCTAAAGGCAATCCACCATTCCTGCAGAAAAGTTAAACGACAAGTCACTAACCTCACTAATCCCTCTCTGAAGGCAACACGGATTGTGGGAATATAATTTGTGCTTGCTGAGTTACATGTAACAATTCCACCTTCCAGCAGCTAGCAGGCTCCCAGAGATGTTGCAAAATTCATAGGTCAGCAGTTACCAAAGGTTTCTGAGGCCACAGCCATTTGCACATGCCCTGTGCTCCTTGTGAAGCACAGGCTGCACAATCATTTGGCTCAGAGTGAATTAATCCAAGGAAGTTTCTGTACAAACTGATACTTGAAGGCAGAGTTTCTCAGCCTTTGCCTGGTAGAACTTGGAGTCTGCAGGTAATTGTGGGGAACACAAGATAATATAGAAAAACACAGTGGCAATTCACAAGGTAAAAATTATCCAGGCAAAGTTTTAGGAGTGTTGAAAACCATTTGCTGTATGAAACCTTTAGCACATCTTCAATGTAGAGGTCAGAACCTGCACTGCCTCTCAGGGGCTGCAGTGCCGGACCCATCGCAGCAGCACCTGCACAACAGAGGTAGGTGGAGGAAGAGGAGGCGAAGGTCAGACATTTCTTACACCAATGCCAGCCACCTGCTCGGTCAGGAAGGGGAAGCGGAGGCTCATGCCAGAGCTCCCCTCCGTGAGGACGCGCGTAGGCAGGCGCAGGTTCCTTGAGACGCGTGAGTCAGCTGTGCTGGGGCTGCACCTCGCCCCGCTGTAAGAGCTGCTGCGCCAGGGAGCCAGGTGGAGGAGAGCTAACCAGCTCTTCTGACAGCACTCACTTTCAAATGCATTCAGAGAAGGAGTTTAAAATATTTTCCTTCCTAAGACATCTCTGAGATTTTAAAGATATGGGTACTTTTATACAATGCTTCATTTTTAACACAGAATTTAGACACACTGCAGCATTTTTTTTTCCCAAGTACTATGTCTGTCTCACTTGATTTTGGTGGGTAACCATGGGGGAGAAAAGCAAATAAGCTTCTGCAAGGATATTTTGTGCTTGGGAGGAGAAAAAGTCCGAGATAATGCAATGCCGCAGCTGTAATTCCTGGAGCAAGAATAAATGGAAATGGTAAGATGTGAGGAGCTGTGGCAGGGGAATCCAGCCTGCTTCTGGAATTGCTCGAGGCAAACCAGAAATCCAGCAGAAGTATATGCAGCATAGAAATAAAGAAAACTGAAGGTATCAACTAAACTAGATCAAATTAAAAGACATGTCACAGGTTAGCTGATTAGCCCATCACATTTGTCAAGTTGGACCAGGCTTGCCAGCAGCTGCTATGGCAGTCCAGAGCACAAGCTCTGTGAAGGTCCTCTCCATGCTTGGTTACAAAGCTTAGCTTGAAGTACATGAAACCAGAACATGGCAGCAGAATAACCTCTTATTTTGACCCAGAAGTTCTTTGCAGAGGCATTAGAGATAAAGATATAATGTTATCCACCGATTCCTGAAGTTTCAAAAGATAAAAATCCCAACAAGCAAAGCCAGCAAAAATTCTCTCTCCAGGTATGCACTTAAACATACTTGGCAACATTTTTAATTCTTACTATCAAACCGTAATTAATATGTTTGCATAATCAAATAAATATGCATGAGGTTATTTCCTAATTAGATCTTCAATCTTTCTTACATCTGACACAGTTTACCTTACAACTGTGAATTAGGAAAAAGGCAGATTATTTGATACTAAATTTGTTTGGTTGCTTCTACTAAAAGTTTGAAGAGCATCTGGATAACTTCATTAAGTTCTCCAGTGCTAACAGCAAGTGATTGCTGGAGTCCAAATTTCTGTAAAGGTTTCCTTTTTTATGACAAAAAACCCCTCCATTACTGTAACCTGATGGATGCTAACTGGGGAATTTGTGCGGTTCAGAGGCACTCATCACCTCTGCTGTTCACTGGTGGAGCCATTTCTAGGTTCTTCAGGGGCCTGTTTTCCAACCTACATTGTACAGGTATTGTAAAAACACCTTTTGCTTGAAAAATAGCCCACCGTGACTACATTCAACAACTAAATTGATTAATCATCTGGTATTAGCACATAACTGTAAATGGGAGTCCAGTAGCAATGCACATTAATCACATTTACTGTTTCTAATTGTCACTTACAGGCACTAAAGAAATTGGGGCAGGCTTTGCCCTGCACACTGGAGACCTTCACTTGCAGCACACCTACGACACTTGCGCACTGGACGCACTCGGGAGACCTTCACTTGCAGCACACCTACGACACGTGGCATCTCAAGGGATGTGGCTCTGCGCGCTTAGATTGAGTGGGACAGCAAACCGCCCGGCTTTCACCTAAATAATTTCCACACGTGCCCTGAAGCAGAGCACTACATACCTGGTAGCTTTACCTGTCTGGTTTTTGTAGCGCAGCCTAAGCTTGTGGTGGAGCAGAGAGGGCAGCTGCTCCACAGTACCCGGTGTTGTCTTGCATTTAGTCTGTCTTCCAGTGTTAAAGTGGCACTGGCTGAAGCTGGAAGCGCATCAGACTGCTCAAAGGGATTTGGGAAGTAATCCTGGAAAGCTTCTCCATGGGAAAATATCTGACTCTCTTAGTTTGGTGGCTCAATTGCTAACCCCACCAGATAAAACTGTACTTATTTCCAAGTTAGACCAAAAAATGTATCACTGGGAATATAAGTGCAGGGAAAGCCTTGATTTTTTTGCTGTTCTTGTTATTGAACATCCTTTGCCTCATTTTCCCTATAAACCACCCCCCATCTTTACGGGCAATATTCTGGCAGCATCTGGAACCAGTGGAGAAGAACAAGGCATATTTGCCAATAAACTGTAGCAATCATGGAAAAATCAGGGTTTCAATCAGCTTTTGGAAACGACCAATAATTTGCATGTTGCTGCAAATATATGCCCAGTCACTTAGACATGAGAGATGTCTAAAAAGTTTTGTTTATGAAGCACAAGCATTGCTTTAAGAACTCCAGCTTTACAAAACCAGCAGTAACAATGTTCAAGTAGGCTGACAACATGGATTCATTTTCTCCAGGAAAATAAACGGCACAAATAACTTACCTTGGCAGAGTCTCTGCTTTGGATTTGTATTTTACTATGGTGGGTTTAAAAAATAAAGGTAAAACACACACACAAAAAATACAATTTTCGCAATCAGTGATCACAAGACAAAAGAGAAGAGCCAGGAAACCACACTGGAGTGAATCAGTCGGTCATAGGTCAAAAGGTCATGACATCACACCCTCCATACACAGCAGCCCCAAGGAAGCCAGGCAGGGTAAGCTTTTAGAGGAGATCCATAATTTAGGAAAGGAACAGCACAAGAATATGACAGAAAGCAGCCTGCGTGTCAGGGTGAAATGTCATTGTTTGGCCAAACTAGCAGGAAACACCCCGACTCTCACTGAAATGAGATGAGAGACGTGGACTGTGACAGCCAGCTCCACACTGACAAGCAGCTGGAAGAGAATCACAGGGAGCAAAACCTTCTCGGCAAACATGAGGGAAGGGATCTGGATGGAAGGGTACCTGATATTATCAACTCTCAGCCTTCACAGTTCTGAACTACTGAGCCACATGTGGCAAATAAAATTTATTTAGCTGTTAACCTAGGCAAACAGTGAACTTTCATTAAATCTATTGGGTGCTTATTTAAGTGTTTGTTTGCTAGCTTCCAAAACAGGATTGGCAAGGCACATTAAAAATGAAGCAAGTATCAAATGCGAATTGAATCCATATTCGAAAATATTAATGGCCAGATAACAGTGCAATGAATACAGACAGAAACATCATATTTGATGTGTGGTACCCATTCATGCAAACAGTGCATCTCATAGGGCAAGCTGCCTGTCAGAGGCAAATTAAAAATTTGGGTTTGAATGGACTCCTTTTGCTTTCAAGGTATGTTCAAAAATCATTCAAGCATTT